TTTATATCCACGCGAAGGTGAGACTATGCTCTACAACTTTCGTTTAACTCCGTCGGCTAATTTTGATTTATTTTTATTATTTATTTTTAATAGGCCTGGACAGAAAATTTCGTTATAAATTCATAACTTCTTCGTTTGACGTCCGTTCTCGCCTAACTTTTTATCGCTTTGATACTAACAATGAGATCTTCGATTCTCGTTCAGATCACTAAGGCTAAATATCGCTCTAACGTAAATTTCACTTTTTACGTCATTCATCGTTGCCGGTTCTGTCGCGAAACTTCGACATGTCATAACCGGATTTCGGCATTCTTTATATCTTCGGAAACCTTGTTTCAACTACTACAACACTATCCAAAGATATCAAGTTTATTTTATACTTCAATTTTGATGCTTATTTTTATTCATAATTAATCAAACCACATAATTAAGCAATTAAGCACAAAACACATAATACTCAAATAATACACTTCTATTATTTCAAAACGGGTTACAAAGGTTAACCTAGACTATTATATCAACATTAATGATAGGCCGAGAAACACAGGCGTTACAATTCTCTCCACCTTAGAATGATTCCGTCCCCGGAATCACACATCAACAAACAAATGCGGATAGCGGGCCCATCATGTCACTCTCCGTCTCCCAGGTGAGATTCGGACCATTCATGTGTTTCCATCGGACAAGCACTAACTCGACCATCTTGCATTGCAACTTCTTAGTATTTCGGTCAACAATTGCCTCTGGTTCTTCAATCAACCTTTTGTTCTCATTGATTCTCAACTCCGAAAGTGGAATCATGTCCGGAACTTCCCCCGTGAACTTCCGTAAATAACACACATGAAAAGTGTTATGAATTCCATTAAGTTCTTCTGGTAGTTCGAGCTTGTAAGCTTGGTTCCCAATCCTATGAAGAACTTTAAACGGTCCAATGAACCTTGGACTTAACTTTCCCCTTTTACCAAATCTTATAAGTTCGTTCCATCGCGAGACTTTAAGCAAAACCGAATCTCCAACTTCAAAAATCATCGGTCTTCGCTTGTTGTCAGCATAGCTCTTTTGACGATCCTGAGTTGCTTACATTCTTTCCCTAGTTATTTTCAACTTTTCAGCAGTTTGATGAACCATGTCCGGTCCCATAAACTGCTTTTCCCCAGACTCAAGCCAACAAGACGGCGTACGGCACTTTTGTCCATATAAAGCTTGGTAAGGTGCCATCTTAATGCTCGAGTGAAAACTATTATTGTAGGAAAATTCTACCAACGGTAAATGTTCATCCCAATTACCTAGGAATTCCAAGGTACATGCTCTTAGCATAGCTTCAAGTGTTTGTATCTTTCGTTCGCTCTGGCCATCAGTCTGCGGATGGTAAGCTGTACTTAAACACAAATTGGTACCCATTTTCTCTTGTAGACTTTTCCAAAACCTCGAGGTGAAACGACTATCACGATCCGACACAATTGTTAGCGGAACACCGTGAAGTCTCACAATTTCCTTCACATAAGAATTCACAAGCTTTTCCATAGACCATTTCTCCCTGGCTGCTATGAAATGCGCACTCTTAGTGAATCGATCAACGACCACCCAAATTATGTCATGACCATTCTTTGTTCTAGGCAGTTTAGTGACAAAATCTATAGAAATGTCTTCCCACTTACCCATAGGCACAGGCAATGGTTCTAAACTCCCGTACAGTTTCTGATGTTGTGTCTTTACTCTCGCACAAGTCACACACTCAGCCACATACTTTGCAACATCAAGCTTCATCGTCGGCCACCAGTAGTAGGGTTTCAGGTCCCTATACATTTTAGTGATACCGGGATGAATCGAGTACATGGTCTTGTGAGCTTCTTCTATCATAAGATCTCTGATTCCTCCTGTCTTAGGTATCCAAATCCGATCCTGGAACACCTTCAGTCCATGACTGTTAACACCGAACACCAACGTTTTACCCAAACGTTCCTCCTTTCGGTCATTCTTCTCAGAAGCTTCGCTTTGAGCTTTCTTTATACTTTCCAAAATAGTCGAGACAACCTCAATTCTCAACGCTCTTGGCCTTCTCTTTTCAAGATTGACTTTCCGACTGAGAGCATCAGCAACAAAATTTGCTTTAGAAGGGTGGTAAAGTATCTCACAGTCGTAGTCTTTAAGTAATTCTAGCCAGCGTCGTTGCCTCATATTTAACTCTTTCTGATTGAAGAGATATTGGAGACTCTTATGATCAGTGAAAAGTTTGCACTTCGTGCCATAGAGGTAATGCCTCCATATTTCCAGAGCGAAAACTACCGCTACCAACTTCAAATCATGAGTCGGGTAGTTCTTTTCATGCTCTTTCAGCTGTCGAGACGCATATGCTATCACCTTTTCTCTTTGGGTCAAAACACAACCCAATCCAACCCCAGACGCATCGCTATAAACAACGAAGTCTTCAACTCCATCGGGTAGAGAAAGTATCGGTGCCTCGCATAGTTTCTTCTTTAGCTTCTCGAATGCTTCTTTATGCTTCTCACTCCAAGCATAAGTAGCTCCTTTGTGGGTCAAAGCTCTCAACGGAGTAGCGATCGAAGAAAAGCCTTGGATAAACCTTCGGTAATATCCGGCTAATCCCAAAAAGCTTCGGATCTCCGTGGGACTTTTCGGTTGTTCCCACTTCATCACAGCTTCGATCTTCGCTGGATCAACCATTATCCCTTCTTGGTTGACCACGTGACCCAAGAATTGGACTTCATGAATCCAAAAATCACATTTTGAGAACATAGCATACAGATTCTCCTTCTTCAAGACTTCTAACACTTCTTGCAAGTGTCTGCTATCCTCCTCCTGGCTTTTCGAGTAAATCAGAATGTCATCTATGAACACTATCACAAATTTATCAAGGAACGGATTACAAACTCTGTTCATTAAATCCATGAATGCTGCTGGAGCATTGGTTAGTCCAAAAGACATAACCAAAAACTCGTAGTGTCCATATCGGGTTCTGAATGCAGTCTTCTCTATATCCTGCTCTCTTACTTTTAGCTGATGATATCCTGACCTTAGGTCAATCTTCGAGAAATAGCTCGAACCTTGTAGTTGATCGAATAGGTCATCAATCCTCGGCAACGGATATCTATTCTTTATTGTTGCCTTATTCATCTTTCGGTAATCAATGCACATTCTCATACTTCCATCTTTCTTCTTCACGAATAACAACGGAGCTCCCCAGGGTGATGAACTAGGTCTAATGAAACCTTTGTCCAGTAACTCCTGAAGTTGCATCATAAACTCCTTCATCTCCGTTGGTGCTAATCGATAAGGTGCTTTTTCTATTGGCGTTATTCCTGGTAACAAGTCAATTCTGAACTCCACTTGTCTATCAGGTGGTAATCCAGGAAGATCTTCGGGAAATACTTCCGGATAATCACACACCACAGGAATACTCTACATCACCTTCTTTTCCTCCTTAGCATCAATCACGAATGCTAAATATGATGTACATCCCTTGGTCAAACACTTTCTGGCTTTCATTAGGGAAATGATTCTAGAATTCACTTTGACGTTTGTCCTCATACACCATAAACGATTCCTTCCCAGACGGGTTCACTTTCACTATCTTCTTCTTGCACAAAATCTCGGCGTCATTGGCGCTAAGCCAATCCATTCCCAAAACGATGTCGAAACCATTAAGTTCGATGGGCAATAATTCCTCGTGGAACTTATTCCCATTCAGATCGATTAAGATGTTTTTCATACGATGGCTAACAGATACAAACTTTCCACTAGCAACTTCGACTAATAAAGCATTATCTAGTCTATCAACAGGCAAAGCTAGTTTTCTACCAAATTCATGCGATATAAAGGAGTAGTTGGCTCCAGAATCAAATAAAATTTGGGCAGACAAATTGTTACGAGAAAGGTACCTGAAGCGACATCAACTTCATCTTTAGCGGCTTCCAGTGTCATCTGGAATGCTCTCGCCTTTGGCTTTGGCGGAATGTTGGGTCTAGCTGCCTCCTTCTTCTTCGGGCAGTCCCTCGACATGTGTCCCTCCTCACCACAACCATAACAAACTTTCTTAGTGAGGGTACATTCATTGGCATAGTGACCTGGCTTTCCACACTTGTAGCATGTGGCCACTACCTCACATTTTCCATGATGCTTCTTCTTACATTTGTCGCACCATTTCGCTTCGCCTCCACTTCCCCTCGAACCAGACTTCGAGAACTTGTTTTTCTTATTGGACCCTGAAGTTCCATCGAACTTCCTCTTTTCACCAACTTCTATCCTTTCCAGACCCTTTTCCTTCTGCTGGGCCTCCACATTCTTAGCTGCACGAACAGCCGTTTTCAGAGTAGTTGCCATCTTGACTGTCGGACCAAAGTCGGCAGGCAGTCCATTAGCAAACCTCTCAATCTTGGAGAGTTCCGTTGGCACTAGGTACGGAAATAATTTCATTTTCTCAGTGAATGCCGTAGCATAGTCGTCTACGCTCATCCTCCCCTTCTTCAAGTTTTGGAACTCATTGTTCAGATCAATCAGATCTATCTCTGAACAATATTGCACCCTTAACTGTTCCAAGAACTCCTCCCATGACATTTTCAGAGCTTCCCCTCGTGGCATAGTATCTGCCAACAACTTCCACCAACTCAATACTCCAGTCTTCAGTTGTCTAACTGCAAAGACAGTCTTCTGTTTGTTGCTACAGTCGCAACTTTCAAATACCATCTCCATTTCAGAGATCCAATCCATTATCTCAACAGGCTTTGGGCTCCCAGAAAGACTTGGCGGCTTGGCGCCCAAGAAATTCTTGTACATTCGCCCATCCTTGTTGTTTCTCCTTTCCGGATTGTTCCTTCGTTCTTCTTGAGTCCCAACTTGACTCA